CAAAATGTATATTTTTTTTTTCTGAGAAATATTTTTCATTCATTAATCAAACATTGAAGAATATTTTCTATGAAAATGACTTGCCTTGTACCAACACAATACTATTTTGTGACAACAAAAGTGAACTTCATAATTTGCCACTAAAATACAAGTACAAAGCAATTAATCACACACTAGAAGTATCATTTTCTTATGAATTTTCTATTGGGTGTTTCTGTTTACTACTTGAATTATCACCAACTATTTATCAAAACACGCTTCGAAATTAATTAGTCAACTGCCTTGCGAACAAAAATTATGGGCAGAGTAAATTGTCACGCGCCTTTTGATAAGCACTTGGTCAAGTCACCTTTGAGGTGCGTTGTAATAAACCATTGGTGATGGTTTAGGTAGAAACACAATTGCAAACACCTAATAGTTCAAATATGAAACTCGTAAAAAAGTGATATTTTAAGTGTATTTTTTCAATAATTTATCTAAAAGAATAAAGAGATTGAGCAAGAAAAAGTTCATACTTTCATATGTCAAATTCAACAAATTACACCAGACCTTTTAACATACTCATTTAACCACAGATACAGGGAACACAGCCTATCCAAAATTCCAAATCTTCCGCAAAGAAGGCACAAATACTATGAATTCATACAAAAATAACAAGGAACAACAGCTAATCACTAATGATGATCTAAAAAATTAGAGAATTCGAGGAACTAACAATGAATAATAGCATACAAAATTCTTGAGAACACAGCCTTTTTATGCAGAGGTTTTCTTGTTTGGTTCAAAAACATTCTTGATCAGTGACTCTTTGATTGATAGCAACTCAGGGAACTCTTTCTTCAACTTTGATGCATCCATCTCATTGTTACTGCGAGCTGCAACGATTACCTTGGCCTGCTCTTCCACTGTGAAGTTGGCATAAGTAAATGCTGGATCGATATATTTCTTGTACATTTCCAATATCTCATTATGGCTCACAACATCAGGGTTTGTGAAATTCCATATGCCTCTGAGGTTACGCTTTGCCATCTCAATTGAAATCGGAAGAAGCTCATCCAATATGGTCATACTGTTAGGAATATTGACCACCTTATTGTAGCGGCTGATCTTGGTAATGAAATTGCGAGGGTTGCTGAGATCTGAAGATATTGGCATGCGAACTCTGAGTGTGCAAACATTGTCATAATTTTTCAACAGATCTTCGACCTAGTTAAAGAAAACAAGAAAATACGTTAGTGCCTAAATAAGAGAATGATGTATTATGGATCAAAGTCTAAACAAGTGCTTACCATGGCCTTGGTCTTTGAATAGAAAGAACCAGCGAAATTGGGTGTGTCTTCCTCTTTGAACCCAATACCAGAACCTTCTGGATGTGCAGCATCATACTCAAATATGCAGCCAGTGGCAAAGTTCACCATCAGGAGGCCATTCTCTCTGCAAACATCTGCCAAGTTTAGAGTACCAGCAACATTTGTGCGAATTGTTTCTGGTTTATGACTCTCACACCAATCAACATTGGGTCTACCAGTGACACCAGCAGCATTGAATACATGTGTGGGCTTGACAGAATTAATGTCTGCCAAAAGCTTTGAGCGATCTTCCAAACGTCCCCTGCCATACTCATAAGGAATTCCCTGTTTCTCACACAATTTCCCTAGCACACCGCCAATCCACCCAGTCCTACCATAGATCAAGAACTTAAAAGGGGATTTCTGAGGCACATTGCTGGTCTTTGAAGCTGGAGCTGCCGTTTTGGTTTCATTGGACTTCCCTGAGAATTCGGTAGATCCAGAATCATATTTCTCACCTCCATCCAAATTTCTTTCTATATCACCAGGCATCATCAGCATTCTAGGATGGGGAAGCAATGCTCCAGAGACATCCCCCCACCAATCAGGGTTATTCTTATACCATTCAATAGTCTTTTTCAGACCCTCTTCCCACATGGTCGTCTCAGACCAACCCAAGTTCTTCAACTTCTGATCATCCAGAAAGTACCTTTGGTCATTAAATGGCCTGTTCTCCACAAACTGAATAACTTTCTCTGAATCTATGTTAAAGAGTTTGCATATATCTTGGGCAACATCAATCACTCTTCTCTCTTTTGTAGTTCCAATGTTATAAACGTGACCGACCTCTCCCTTGTGTAGAACAACTTCAAAAGCCTCAGCAACATCCTCACAATAGAGATAACTACGAACATTACAACCATCACCATGAATAGGAAGAGGCTTTCCCCTCATGGCTAAAAGTATAAACTTAGGGATTAGTTTCTCAGGAAATTGGTTAGGACCATAGACATTGTTCCCTCTAGTGGTTATAACAGGTAACCCATATGATCTACCATAAGCCATAACAAGCATTTCAGCCCCAGCTTTTGTGGCTGAATATGGGTTAGTGGGAAGGAGTTGTGAGGCCTCGTGGTTTCCTACAACAGCATCCTCATCAGTCTCCCCATAGACCTCATCCGTACTCACATGGATAAACCTTCTGATCTGACCAGTAACTTTGCAGGCCTCTAATAGTACATGGGTACCATAGATGTTATTCTTAGTGAACTCAAAGCTATTACCAAAGGAGTTATCAACATGGGTCTGAGCAGCAAAGTGCATTATAGTGTCAATGGACTCAGTTATGAGAAGGTAGTTAACGAGATCTGCACTAGCAATATCTCCCTTAACAAACTTGAAATTAGGGGAAGATCGGGAAGGAATAAGGTTCTTCAAATTTGAACAATAGTCAAGTTTGTCAAGGACAACAATCTTGTAATCAGGGTAGCTCCGAACAAGTCTGTTGGCTACATGACATGCAATAAATCCGGCAGCTCCAGTAATGAGTATATTCTTAGGGGTGTATGTTGACATCTTGAAGCAGCTTCTAACACATGCAAAATTCCAAACCAATATCAAGATTTTGTAGCAACCTCAGATCCATAATTAAAAATAGCATAGAAAAAACAAAACAATATCTAGTTTCTAATCAATCAATCAATCAACCTAACTACTCCTCACCTCACGTGAATCTTAGTAGCTTAGTTGGTTATCTACCTGAACTTTCACCTTGTTGCTAAAAAATCGATTGCTATACCTTGTAATCCCCTCACCCATTTCTCCTCCACCTACCCCCAACTTTTCAATAAAAACACTAACTACTCCTCAATGCAAAACTAGTCGGGGTTGGCAATATGAATCCTCTACACATTCTACTCCATTCCTACTCATTTCAATCCAAAAACTTATTTCTCTAAACCTAATCCCTCGTTTCCCCATTACAAACCAAAATAAAAAAAACCCAGATCATTAGATCCAAAATTTTCCCAACAACGATCACCAATTCAAATGATTATCTCTATCAGATCTGCATAAATTAACCAATGCTAAACCAAAAAAAAAAACAGGTCAACACCATCAAATTATTAAACAGATCTAACCCAGATACAAATTCTATAACAGAAAATCAATACTGGATCATTTTCTTCAATTCAAATTGCAACAGATCACACAAGATCAAAATAATAGCAATAAATTATGCAGAAAAAATTCAATAAATAAAGAAAAAAATGATGAAACTTACTGATTCAAATCCCGATCAGGATCCACCCCAACTGAGAGAGAAGAAAAAAAAAGAGTACAAAATCGCCGAGTGCTTCGGCCTTTATAGAGAGAGAATCAGACAAGAAGGATCAAAGGAACGTGTTTTTCTCTATTTATGGATTCACATACCAAAGAAAATTTAATAAAATAAAGAAATGTAAGCAAATCTCTACTTATTTTTTTGCATGATACAATAATACATAGTCCTATAATTTAATTTATTTTTCGCTAATATTTATGTTCTCCAACTTTACGTGTGTAGATATATAATTTAACTTGTATATGTCAAGTATGACGTTTGTGTCTGCTTATTTAACTTTATATAAATTTAAATGTTACTTATATGTACTCAAAATTGAAGAACACGTTAAAAAGTGTATTATTTATAATAGACTATTAATTGTTTTTTAAGTATATATTATGACATCTTCCAACACATCTAGACTTTCAAAAGGGGTTAGCATTTGGGTTAATAACACTTTTGATCCTTTGATTTAGGAGCTTTGGAGTAACGATTGAGTTATTTTTATATGATTTATAAGTTATGTGTTTGAGCAGTGCAAACTATAAATATTGATGTTTTCATTAGGATAGATCGTCTACATCACATTTGTTGGAGTATGATCTTTTTCTAGACTCTGCTAATAGAGAATATTTCATGCAATGAACTGTCTTTTAAATCGTTATGATATCTGACTAAATATATTTAACCTTCATAAAGTTTCAGAATTATTAAATGTTTCCTCATTTAGTTACTCATGTGTTACGTGAAACTTGTTATATTACTCCATATTTAGAATAAGTATTACTAATCAAAATAGTTCAAAAATGATATATTTCCTACTCAAAAGGACCAAAAATGCACATTTTAATTATTAGTTAAAAATAAATGTATTGAGTTATATACCACAAAGATTAAAATCATAACTTACCAATAATTGAGGAAACAAAAATAGGATTCTCCTTTTACACTTTTGATCCCTCAATTACTGATACTACTTTTATTTTGATTATTATGAAATTTAATTAAATCTAATTAATCTTCTGTGTAGGACTTTTTGACATTGCAAATTTGTATTTAATCAAATTTTAATCAAGGCGTCAAAGGTGGTTTTTTCTTCTTTGTTTTTACAAGTTTAAACTGTGAAAATGATCTCTTATAGAAATATAAGATAAATATGTGGATAATGAATCCAATCTAGTACTATTATTTCCCGAATTACCTTTATCTCGTAAATAACATACTTCAAATTTACTCTGAATCTTGAATTATGATAAAAAATTAACACATGAGTCAAGAAGAAAACAACAAATATGCATCTACATGCTAGATTTGCTTAATTTTGCCTTCTCATAAGTTGATACACATTTTCTATACAAAAATTTGTGAATATACTAAAGCAAAAGTCACAGCAGCAAGTCCTTCAGAGTAGTTCTCCCAACAACATCCACATTTTCCTGAAAATGTAGGTAGGTGTAAAGAGTGAGTAAAAAAATTTGCATCGTGATTTGTGTCAGAGTCAATTTTTTTATTAAAAAGATCGAAATATAAAAAATAATCGTCACATAATATATATTTACATAAAAAAATTAGTCGATCTACATAATGTAATATTTCTCTTCCCAAACAATGACAATAGATCAAAATTCTAAGATAATGGTTATATAAGAGTACACTTATAATATTTTATATATAAATTCCAAGAAGAACGACATCTTTTTATAAACTCAATTTTTTCCATTTTAAAACCACATACTATGAAAAACATTTTTGGTATATTGACAAAAATCTTAACTTCTTCTTTTTTTTCTTAAATTTTATGTCTAATTAAATACCACATGCAAAATGATATAAAGAGAAAGTCAAAATAATCAATCAATTATACGTCAATCCCAAATTAATTAGACCAACTTATAAATCCTATTCAAGGATCATTTATTCCCAATATTAGCAAGTACTTTGTCATTTGAGTAAACACTAGGTTTTTAAAGCTAACTCTACATTATCAGAATATGAGTGATTCGACAAATTTAAATTCATATAGAGAAAGACTATTCACAAGCTAATTGCAAAAGAAACTTTTCACAAACATGTGATATATGTAAAATTAAGATATATACATCATTAGTGCAAATATTTTTTACACTCAATATAATAGTGTACTATACTGTTCGGAATTGTTTTGGGGTGGATGTTGAAATTCTCAAACATAATATTTTCGAAGGATTCAATATTAGATGTAGTAGCATTTTAAAATATTTTGAACAACATAAGTACTTTATAACCTATAAAAACATGTTAGTTACTATTTTCATCTAATAGTTTAAAAAAAAAAAAATTAGTCTAATATATAGATATTATTTGAGTGACCTGATTAACGTTGAATTGATCATTGTCAACATGATGAATCGGCATTCCTCTCTCATCATACAAAATAAGCCCACTAAACCTCGGTAGCTCACACTTTTCACCCATCAATATTGGCCTTTGCCACACGGGCGAGTCCGAGTTGTGGCTATGCCACTGCCCAGACTCGCCCTCAAGTAACGGAGAAACTCTCTCCGTGCTCCGATTTTCCTCCCACTTACTTGGCCCACTCCACCTCACCGTACTCGTCAGCACTTTCTTCACCGAAGTGTTCGAACTCAGTAACTTTGGTTCAGACCATTCTACATCGATATCCGTGCTACACGGGTCTTGGCCCACTAACCCCTTTCTCCTAGTGGCTGCCCTTCTTTTAAAAAAAGCAGTAACTAAGCAAATTACAATGATTAAGGAACAAGTGCAAATGAAAAATGCAATTGATTCTTGAGTTGAGAGCTTCCATTTGTCTTCTAAGTTCCATAAAATTGACTCCATTTTTTTTTGTTTTCAGAAATGCACTCAAGGTGTTTGATGAAATGCTAAAGAGAAAAAAAAACAGAAGTTGCTCTGTATAATTTGGTGTAAAGTTTGTTGTGTAGTTCACCGACACATAATTTGATGCTAGCATTTATTTTCTCACCGTTTTGGTTTTGGAGAGGAATTAAAAGCCATTCACGAGATATATCATGTAGAAGGAATCAAGGAATGATCTCATTTATATATACATAGGGATCGGTAGCGGAGTCAGTATTTTCATTAAGAGCTCGTTTGGTAAAGTGTATTAGAAAAAATAATGCATGCGTTAGTTTTGTATGTTATATTTTTTTAGTCTTGCACTAGTTCTACACTCCATTGTGTATCGAGGTGTGTATTACTAATACCATGATTTTTTATGTATTAATAATACAAAAGGTTTCAACACATGCATTAAATTGATTAATGATATAACTACCGCTCAAATTCCTCGCGGGTATTTTTGTATACAAATAATTTTTTGTAGAGTTATGCAAGGCTTGTTATTTCTAATACACCATATTTGAAAATAATTCTTATACAGTCTATCAAACAACTCCTAGACAGGGGCGGAGCTAGCATAGAGTTAGGGGTTCATCTGAACCCCCTTCGGCGGAAAATATTACTATTTATACATGGTTAACATTATTTTTTATGTATATATAGTAGATGTCGAACCCTCTTTGGTTAGTTCGTGGTTTACTTCTTCAGATTTTGAACCCTCTTATTAAACATTCTAGCTCCGCCACTGTTTCTAGAGAGTTTAAAATATGAAAAGGTATATACATATATAAACAGTGTAATTTGGTCAACCTTACCTGGCTCCTCTACTAATAGTGATAACGACAACAATAACAAATTTATTGTGATCCCACAAGTCGAGTTTTAGGAGGGTGATGTGTAGGAAGTGTTTACATTTAGATTATGATTGTGATTTAACATATGCAACATCAACATAAATTTTGATGGAATGATTGAAAATTTTAGGTCTCTTCATCTTTAATCAAAAATCTCGTGTTCGAGTTTTGGATATGAAAAATTATGTTTGGAGTGAAAACATGTACTCATGACCAATTCAAGTTAGTGATCATCAATCTATTAGGGGCGGTTGTAGAGTTGATGGTATGAGCTCGACAGAAATCAATAGCTTTGACCCAAATTTTATCTTTTTAAAAATAAGTTTATACATATCCTCAAGTATGTTTTCGGTAATTAAGAAAAAAAATGATAGTTGATAGCGGTGTACTAAATTTTCACTATGCATAGTATCCGAGGAAAGACAAGATCACAAGGATTTATTACATACAATCTTACTCTTAACATTTTTGTGACTGTAAGAAACTGTTTTCACCACTCATATATTCTTCATCTGACAATAATTTTACCAGTTACGTCAAGATTCTCTCTCATTTATATAATTGAAGTTTATTTAGACTATGAGCTAGTTGGAAATCGAAGTTTGAGCTTGCACAGATCTTCAAGATGAAAAACAGGAGAACCCATGACTATTATGGTCTTACACATAAAAGTCCTTTAATTATTAGGTTGGGAATTGAATATTGTTGAATGCACTACTTACACTCCACTCCATTTGTTATTTAAATGAGATAAATCAGTCAAAGGAGGAAAAACTTCTGCCTCTATTAATTATGATCCATGCAAATTACATATGATGCATTTTATTTTATTTTATATTAGAAAAATACAAATTTAATAAAATAAAATTATTATTTGATAAAAAATCAAACACTTATGTTCATTAGTGATGGCGAGATGATTTGTAGTGGTGGCGATAATTGTGGTCTAATTAGTGGCTATTAATGGTTGTGATAATAATTGTAATGGTGTGGTTTGTGTAGTGATTGGCGTAACGATGGTAGTTGATAGTGACGGTAATGATTGTAATAATGAAATTGATTGATGTTAGTAGTTATCGGTGTTGATTGTGATAAGGAGGATTGAAGAATGTGTGGTGGTTGACGATGTGTTGATGATAATTGACGGTTGCGCTATTTGTGATTATAGATATGGTTAGTATGCAGTAGATTTTGATTGTAGTGGTGGTAAGTAGTTGACAGTAATGACAGAGATGACAATGACAATGGTAGAGGTGGCAAGTGTGGTAGCGATGACGACTGACAGTAGTGGTTGATAGCATCAGTAGTTGTGAGTAATGGTTGTAATGATAGAAATAATTGATGATGGTGATTGGCGACAGTGGTGATTGACAATAATGGCGATTATAATGACAAATGTAATTAATGGTGGTGACTTGTGCAGGTGAACAAAGTGGTGACAAAAATTATCCACACAAAAGTGCCTCTTAATAATATAAAAACTTCAGTCAAAATCTTATGCTTAAAAACTATTCAGACCAAATAAGTACTTAAATTTTAATGTAAATAAATACACTTAATGATCTATTATCTAATATTCAAATTTATATTAAGTTCATACAAATGAGGCCTAAAAATCCTTACATGGTATTACTTCCTTCGCCATTCTTATGTGGTGTAGTTTTACTGGCACAAATTGAAAAAAAAAAAAACTTTTAAACTTGTGGGTAAGAGTAAATCATTGATATTTATACGATTGAATTATTTCATTAAGAGTAAGATGAGGAGTTTAAAATCAAATTATTTCTACAAATTGAAAAACATCGCTCTCTTTAGACATTAAAATTGATATTGCATCATATAAATTGAGACAATTAGGACATTCTATAGTAGTAGAATGTATTTCAAAAAAAATATTTGAAATTGAAATTACGTATTGGTCATAAATATTGTTGGAATTATGCCTAAAGCTTTTTAATTTTAAGTTCTATTTCAAGTTGAAGATAAAATAAAATCTCTACATGTTTTTTCGATGAGCTCGTTATATGAAACTTACCTAACTCCACAATGAAATGGGTGAAATTCCTTGTGACCAATTTTAACCTTCAATTTTTTAACCATGATTTAAATTTAACCTCAAGTTAGAACTCTGTGTTAAGGGTCAGACAAATCGAAAATTTTCCTTATTAGACCAAACTTGTAACGGAGCACAAAGTTGATCATTTTCGGATAGTACAAGAGCAAATTTGATCCTTTTCCCTATTTTATTCCAGGATTCAATCTCACCGAGTTACTTTATGATAATACAAGGATCCTGGTTCTCCATAGTTCCTAGTGGCAAATTATATAAAAAAAACTATCTTGCTCGAACTTTTCAGAAATATCACATGTGCTTGTTAGATCCTCAGAAGGTAGTGTATTTTGTTTTGAAGAATCCAATATAGGTGCAATAACATTTTTGATATACTTTACCCCAAGGGATTGTGTAAACTATCAAAGAGTCAATATAATAGAGAAGAAAAAAGGATTGAAAAATGTCACCGTCACCTCCACAGTGTACATCGTCCCCTCCTTCGACCCCACTTGTGGGATTATACCGAGTATGTTGTTGTATTAAAAACAATTCGGATCAGATCACAACAAGAAGGCCCTTCAATTTTAGAAAAAATGACATGCAAGGAAGCAATGGCACGAAGAACGATAGTTTTTATTCATTGATAGAATCAATAATGCAGTAGCTACAGCCTAAAATTTACAGGAGCATAGGTACCAACTCACAGGGTAAACTGAACAAAGAAATGCCTAAAATTTAGGCAAAGAGACCTAACCAGACGTATGATGTATGTTTCATCATTGAATCTTCGATAGGGCTGCTTGGTTAGATGAACATGCAGTCCTAGAATTCTTTCACCTCCAACGTGGATTTACTCCGTTCATTGAAAGAACGTCTGGATACAGTTTGCTAAGTCAGGCTATACTGGATGGTGCCAACCTCTCTGTGAGCTGCAACTGCAACAGCTGCAGCACTGACTGCACCAAATTGGGTTTGTGCCTGTAGTAGTTTTGCATCTATTGCAATTTGACCACCCAACTGTGCTACTTTTTCTTGTATCGGATAATACGGGTTGGTGTTCATCTCAACACTCATGTTGCATTGTGCAGGTAGGGGTCTAACTTGAGTGGTGTCCTTGGCTTCTGTCCCACACTTCTCTCGATTCCCCGGGTTCATCCTGAACATATAATGTGGAGAAATGCCATGAGGAAGGAGGCCAGTATTCTGTGTAAGCATTCTTCCGTCATATGGTAAAATTGGTCCTACAACTCTCCCAGGTTTGGCTGAAAAGGATAGAAATGACTATTTGAGAACAATCATGTAATCATGTGCTGCTATGTATGTACATTCATCGAGGGTCTGTGTAGACGCGATCATGTCTGATTCACTTTTGATTTCCTCCATTCCATGGGAGGATAAATTTAGACGCAGTTGAATTACACATGGTAACAAAATAGACTTTGTTTCATCGACAGACATTTGATATAATATTGCATCGGACAGTAGTAGACCAAACAGTAAATACGTGTTTAACTGTACCTGCATGGACTCGATGTGGTGGTCGTGAAATGTTTTGTATAGTTCCTGAAATTTTCTCTGCGACTCTGACATCAGTAGATGATTTTTCTGTTGCTTGTGTATGATCAAACACAGAGAAGTTCTGCCTAGCTTTGGGGGGATCAGTACTGAAATTGACCGCAGATCTGCACACATTTAGGAACATATGTGATTAAGCCCGAGAAAAACAAAGAAAATATGAGACAGCACGGACAGTAATTCCCACTATGAAACACTTCTTGTTATTCCCAAGAACCTGAACGATTTTAAAACTTTGTAAGCAACTTATCTTGCTTCCTCAATCACAATCACTTCTCCAATAAATATAAGCAACAAAAGAACAAAGAGAAGCTTAAATGAGGCGAAGTTGTACTGGTGAAAACTAAGCAACAAAATTGACAAAAACGAATCCTGTATAATCTTACCGTGGAAGAGAGACGTGCTTTCTTCCAAGAGGAATAACTGGCCCACTTTTACCATTATTTTCCTCAAGATAAGCAAATTGCCTTCTAAACTGACCTGTTGCACTGCAAATG